TCCCATCAGCTATAACTATTTAAAAGACTAGATACCGTTTATATTTTTCTCATAGATAACTATAACATTTTTATATAAAAATAATATTTTTATTGTTGCACAACTAAGAAAATATATAAAAAAAAAATTCGTGTAGCACATTATTCTAGAACGCATGCCATTGTTTACTAAATTAATTATATGATAACAAGTTTATTTAAGTTTTATCAATAGTGATAATGAGTGTATTATAATCAATCCTTAATAAAGTTTCTTTCGCAAAGTAAACAAGATAATAGTCTTTAAACAAATCCAATATGACAACAGCTAATGAGTTATCAAAACGATACTATATTAGATTAAATGTAGAACTTTAGTTCTTACGAATATCATGTGAAACCAAATTACTTCTACACTTACTAAACTCCAAACTTTCAAGCGATCGAATTTCTGATGTAGTTTTTTAATGATTTATTAATATGAAAATTAAAATTCATAAAAAACAATGAATTATAAAGAGAGATAATTTATAAAATATCTTGACGAAAAAAAAAAGTTTATTTATTTTATTTTCAAATCTTACGCCCATCGGAATTTACCAATGCAACTAAAGGTGCTTATCTATTTATTTGTATGTTGATTTTTTATCATTATTACTTCAATAATTTATACCTCAATCACCTTTGAAAAATAAATATGTCATTAAAAACAAACAATACTTTAATTTTTTAACCAAATTCAATAAGTATAAACTTGATACTTAAATTTATTTGGGAAATATTTGTTATTGATCGAATTATTTTAAACACGTACAACGTTCAAAATTAAAAAATAATTGCTTTAAAGGAATGGCTTGCATTTTATATGCTACTGATTGATGTTCTAAAAAACTCTTCCCTAAACATCAGATATATTTATATACATATAAAATTCCTCAAGGAATTATAAGAACAAGATTACTTAGTTCTTAACAAACTAAAAATAAAGATAAAACTTTTCTCGTCTATACTTTATCTCAAAAAACTGACTTTGACGACTTCATTGTGTCATTTTAAAAATGACATAATATATAATTACAGCTTGTCAAAGAGCTATGAAAAACCACTTTGATGTCATAATTTTAAAATTATATATTACGATAACTAACAAAGTTTTATGATTTGAGCAAAAAAAAAAAAGGAAATGCTTAAAACAACTGATTTTATTTATGAAACCTAAGTCTTTTGAATTGTTTTTTAAAAATGGAGCGATGACGTTTATTATTTATGTAAAATAAATGTAAATAAATAAAAGTTTGACATGTGAAAAAATATGAACAAGAAGCTCTAAGAATATAACAATTATTTATTCAACATTTTTACTACACGCATATGTACACATGTTACTTATGTAGCAGTCAATTGCATTAATTTACATTTGTCTTATGACACAATTATAATAGATCTGTAACATTTCAGTAAAGGTTAATGATATGTAAGTAAGAATAAATGATCAGAGAAAGTAATTGATAATTTTGTGAATTTGCATCGAAATCATTTTAAATTATATTAATAACAATGGATAATAAATATAATTTTATTTTTGAGAAAATATGTTAATTTTATTTTAACAATTTCAAAAATACTTTTGTTATCTGCGTTTCATATTTTAGGACGATTTACATTTGAAAAAGGTACTAAATGTACTTTTTAGGTCCACCCATTAATCCTTATAGTGGTGCAAATTTAATTATTTAAAGAACAATATACATATTTAAATACCTTATATAATGAAAAATTATCTAATTAAAAAAATAACTGGTCGATAATAACTTTTGACCCACTACTTCATAAATTATTACAAGTCTGAAATATAGACTAGGGGCGAGGCTTAGGTAAGACTATTTTTATTATTAGACATTTTTTTACCTCACTCTTCCTTATGCCAAGGTATAAAAACGTTAATGACTTCCGAAGTACTAGTCCAAAAGTTGTTATAGACTAGTCATTTTTTATTGTATAAAGTATATAATTATGTATATTGCTCTTTAAAAAAGTTAAATTTACACTTTTATAAGGGATAAAGAATAAACCTTTGAAATACTTAATGATTGATAAATCAAGGATATTAAAACAAAACAAAAAAGTCAGAAAATTGTGTTTTCCAAATTGTTATTATTTTAGGGGAAATCAAGCGGCTAATGTCAAAAGAATCAAAAAAATGTTGGTTATTTAGCAACATTTATGTAAACTAAGATATACAGAATATTTTTTATCATAACCCATTCAATTACTTACAGAATAAAAATAATTAAAATTTTTTTTTTTTTTTATCTTTAATATACATTATTATTGAGTTATTAATTATGTAATACTTTTTAAGTTCATCCAAGGATGTCAACTTTTTTTTTTCAAATGGGAAAAGATATTTTGAATTTAATAAAATATTTGAGTTTTTATTTTAATAGTATATGACAATTTTTAATTAAAATTTATTTGTATATTAGATATAAAACTTTAAAGTTTCAAATTTTTGAATTACTATAAATGTATAATACACGAAAGATTACAGTTAGCTAATTGGTTTTTTGTGACATCGCTATCACAGTTACGGAGTGTTTATTGTCAATTATGACTATCAATTGATATGCTTTCTGTATTGCCAGTAGGTGTATTTATAAAACTCATAACAATGTCCATTACTACTATTGATAATAAATGCTACATATATAGGTGTATATATACTTATATAATAAAAAGGTTATATATCCTGTATATATATATATATTAATTTATCAAGTATTAATTACTTTATCGCATAATCCCTTATAACTTATAGGAGTGTCAACTTTACTTTTCAAATGTAGATACACATATATTTAACTAGCTTATAAAATAAGGAATGATTTAATTAAGGAAATGTCGAATCAACTTTATTAAAAGCTTATTAACAAAGTTCCTAAAATTTGTATAGAAATTGCCTAATGAAATAAATAGCCTCTGCTACAGTCTATATTAAATATATATTAATCAAATTATCCATATATATTTGCAAAATGAAAAAAGTTGATACCCCTAAAACGCATTAGGGACAAATAAAAAAAAAACACTAAATAGTGGATAAGTCGAAAATTATATGTATCTGAAAAATATAAAAAAAGTACAAAATTATTTTTAAATTGCGATTAGAACCTGTTTATGATAATAACATAATACTTTATATAATTAAAAGGTGGAAAATTTTTAATTAGGTTAAAAATTTTTAAAAGATAAAAAGTGTGTTTATGTAGTTTTAAGGATTTTATATTTAAAGCCCACATTATGTAATTTCCTAAGGACTCTCAGCCGGAAAGACCACAGAGTCTGTATTGGGATTGTTAATTATTGTGTTTATGATGTTGGCAGAAAATATTAATTATTGTGTTTACTATACTTTTGCGTTTAATTTATTTATTGACTTTTGGCTTTAATCTTAGTCTGTTAAAAAACGTGTGGTAAATGTCTGTTACAGTAGCTTAAACACTTCGTTAGTACCTTTAAACACAACAAGTAAAAACTCTGCCTTAATAGCGACATTATTCGAGGAGCTACGGAAAAATAAATATTTTTATGAAGACGTTAATTATTTTACTTAAGAGAGATGCAATAGCAATAATAGCAATATAATAATAATACCAAGAAATGTAATGTCTTCTTGTATTTTCTTTCAGTGTTATTAAAATGTTTTTACTTAGCAATTAAAACTACCAAGCGCACTTGATCTTTCAAAAATGTTGTATCTAAATATACATCATAATTTATTAAATATCATCAGTGTACATAATTAAGTGGCATATCAAAAGGCAATAATTAATAAATACTTAAACGAAACCTACTCTTTAATTATTAAACATAGTAAATGAAAGTTGATACTTAATTTATTGAATGTTTTAAAGATTTTAATTTTGTGAGCAAACGATAATGTTTTGTTTTCATTGTTGAGTCATAGCTTCCATAACTAATTAAACAGCATAATCATTTTTTTTTTTTTTTTAATAATTAAGCAGTTGGTGTAATTAAGTCTATAATAAATAATTAAAGGAAGTACGCTTTGTACATTTTAACGGGCCTTTGTACTTAAATCAATAAATTTTGTTAGTCAAACAAAATAAAATATTTCCCGATAACAAACAATAAGAGCAGCTAAATAACTTATAAAAATAAGTGCTATGGCTGTAGTATTTACCCTACCGAGTCTAGGAAACTTATAAAACACATATATATATATATGAAGATGACTTTGAAAAGTCTATAACACTGCAGTGTTCAAATAATACTCGGTGAGGAAAATTTCCAGAACTATCAGCACCGTAGTGAATAAATTTCATTTATGTAGATGTACAACTACAATTGAAATGAATAAAATAGTAATAATCTAGAAAAAAATGTCGAAATTCTATTCGAATGGTTTTATTATTCAATTGTTCGTGACAACAGAAAATTACTCCTTGTAAAATTAGTTTAATAGCAACAGTTTGTATTATATTAATCTATGAAAAATTATCTACAATTAGAAGTGCAAAATTCAAAAAAGCTTTTTTTCATAAATAAACGGTATTGTAAGAAAGAATATAGTTGTTCCAATATCGTGTACATACGTTTTTTTTTATTCAATTTTATTATACCAGTTATTGAATTTTTCATGCGAATCAGAAATTTCAATGTGGCATATTGCGTTTTTCAGCAAAGATTTACTAAGCGCTTGTTTAATATTTTATGTTATTTGTTTGATTTTGTCGAATATGGTAACGCTATTTGAATCATAACCACTGAATTCGTCCAGTGTATATTTGCATTTATAAAGCGACTTGTAAGTAAACAAAATGTCTCATAATTTATGATATTCATTATTATGCCCGACTCTTTTGTTTTTATTTTTGCCTTTTCTAACCTAAAGTCATTAAAATAGAATAATTTAAAATGTTTTTGCATATTAAAAACACCTAAAATTTTCGATTAACATAAAATATTTAATTTATAAATTATCAACATATCCATTTGTCTTTGTTGACTTTATTGTAAATTGACAACAAAATGATTTATACTTCATGAAAAATATACAAGGTATTGTAAATGTCACAATTTTCCAATTGAAATTGTGTATTGTGCACAATAAATGTCTGTAATTCATTATAATTTGTTATTATGCTACATTTTCAGATGTCATTTGGTAAAACAGTAAAAACTTTGAAGCTGAGCATGATTTAATATGAAATGTAACAAAATAATACAAAATTTTGGAAAATGGCTTTACATTATTATTAATCTTATATAAGTGTATTCGTTTTAAATTATGCAACCATATTCTTATGAAATCAAAAAGTATTTGTTTTGATAGTCGCGTAAGTAATAAGCTTTATACTTGACTTAGTTACATATAGTTAATCACGATAAAACTTCATTATTATACAGAAAAATATATGTAATATATAAATTGATTATATGTACTACTCAAATTATGATTGTTGACAATTTTTCCTTAGAAAATTCATCATTTAAAAACTTTTACTGAAATTTCTATCGTGACGTCTTCATTTTGTGATAACGATAGTTTGATGCTTTTTCACAAATATTTACCAAGTTAGTTTAGCACAACACTAACAGTACACAATGGTAAAATATATATTTTTTCTGAACAGGACATTTTTTAATACACTTTATCAGATTATATTTCACTTATTTTTACTTTGTTCTTATAAATTGAATCTTTTTCTTTTAAACAAACATTAAAAGAAATCAATCATTCTAAGATATATTCTGTTTTACAGGGGATGTTTCAATTTAGAAGATCAAATTTAGTTGTTCTAATATAAATTAAGTCAAATTTTTATTAGTCATTAAATATTTACTTAAACAGATATTTCTAAAAAAACTTTTCAAAGGGTATTTTGAAGAAAATTCTACGAGGAGATAAAAGAAAACTTTTTCATAATATTGTTTTTTATGACTTATTTATTTTTTGTTGTTCAAAATCCTTCTAAAAGTAATATTTTTGCCCATAACTTATGTGGTCGAATGAATTTCGGTGAGGGCTTGTAGTATTTATTTTGAGTATTTATGAGGAGATAAATACGCCTTTTATGTTCGTATTAATAATTAAGTATAATTATTTCACATTAAATAAAGACTGATGTTCAGTAAGTAAGGAAACGGGTCAATTGTTATAAACAATGAGAACAATAGAAACCCGTTCTCTTAGTTAATGAACACCCTATACATATATAATAACAATATAACATGTTCATTATAATTATTCAATTAAGTATAATTATAATCAAGCACTTTCTCAATATTTTCAAAGTTCTTGCATAATAAATTATTAATAAAGTACCTCATAAAAATAAATATTTTAAAACTCATTTCATAATTTTATAGTATAAATAAGAATAGTTGAGGTAAAATAGTCACATATCTTTTAAAAATTAATTAAGGTTATTTTTGAAATGTTCATGGAATAAGTTTTAATACTTACTGAATTTTAATAAAACTCAAATAATCTAGTCCCAATTCTAATATTGTTCGATATTAAATTTCTAATATTGTGATTTCATAATTCAACACTTTAATTCAAATTCCTAAATCATAGCTAACACCTGAGGCACAATAACATCATGTGCTAAATTTTATTTCACTATTTATAGTATACTTATTAAATAGACGTTTTGGGCACCTCTTATACTATAAGGAACATTGATGACTCAAGCAATCACCTGATCTCTCNTTTTTTTTTTCAACTTTATTAATATAAATAAAAATACAGCGGACTGCTCACTTTGTGAGTTGCCTATAGACACAGTTTACCAATTCAATACGGTTGTACATAGCATTACAGTTAAAAATGAATACAGATATAAATAAAATAAAATAAAGATAATAATTAAATTAACAGTAGATAAAATTTGAAAAATTAAAAAAAAAA